TCGGGAAGGTGTTAAGAGGGTGGAATGGGTCCGCGCTGGCTTGCTCGATCAGTGGACATACCGCTCGGCCTATCCGATGTTTCCTGACACCACCCCTACTCATTGCGACGATGTCAATTTATCTACCCTTCCAAAAAGGAATCATTCTTAGGGCTTAGAAAAAAAATTAGCAAGATAAGACAAGACAGGCACGACCTATGTACCCGTACCCTATCTCCTACTACCTTTACCTCTCCGGGTTGGGAAACGCCGCCGTAAATAGCCTTCGTGGCATCTGCATGAGGACCTAATTGATTTGGCAGAAAAGTGCTGCAGCAAGTCGGACCAATTAGCTAGCAGGACCTTAGGAGTTCCTAAGTCCGCTGTTTGGTGTCGCCGCAACCCGTCTCTCCCAAGTCTCTCTCGCCGTGGCCTGATTCCAGGAATTCAAGGAGGATCAGTCAGCCGTAAAGGGAAAACATGATAGAATACAAAAATGAAGTTCAAGACATGCTTATGCGATAAACTAAATTAAAAGCCAGTGAACAGCAAACTAATTCCAATAAAATACCATTCGTTTCAGAGCAAGGAAGCCGGTATAAAAACGTTAGTCATGCTCGATGATCAAGGAGGTAAGCGACTTCGAAGCTATTCTTGTTTTGCTCAAAAAACGGGGCAGTATCCTGTGCTCATTTCGCTGCTGAATCCCCTGGTTCTCCACTTGTTCTGTTCGGTTTATCGTTTTCTCCGCGTTTCCAGGCTTTTGCCACTTAGCAGTCGAAACTGCATCGTGGACAACTTTTTCAGCACTTTTAACGTTACGACGCGTCTCTCACGAGCGCATCGTCGGCATATGAAACCTGGGAACGAATTTCGCTCTCCTTCTGAAAACATTCATATGTTCACTGACTAGTGTGTAGTAGTCATTGTATACGTACCTATAAATCAGTTCAAGAAGCTCAGAAGGAACGGCGCGCAATCATTAAGAGGATGCGGTCAAGGCGGCGCTGGTCGACTGTTCTACTACTGGAAAAAAGTGGACCATTTCAGAGCAACTCGAGCGATGCGAAGGTGCTTTGGACACAATCAACACGGATATGAAGGAAGCCGAAGAACATCTCAAAGGAATGGAGAAATGTTGCGGATTGTGCGTGCTGCCGTGGAACAAGTGCGTCACTCTCAATATCAGCATTTTGTCTTGCCTGAGCGCCTTTTTCCTTCAAAGTAGTCCGCTGCAACATTGGGGACCGCCATCTTGGTCGGCATTGCCACAACTGTCGAGCGTTGTCAGGAGGCGTGGCATGATTCCACTGAGCTTTCTACCAATAGAGGTCGCTTCAAGAGGAAAATAGCCAGTAAAAGAAAACTCTGCGTGTGGGCTCATTCCACGTTTCCTGACACCTCCCCGTCTGATCGGGACTACTATCAGACCGCCCCCCTATTTTCGTCAGCGTGATTCGCGCCAAAATTCGCCGATGGGAATCACCAGTGTGCACGACACCGGCTCTTGAACGCAGTGTGATGGCTCGTGGGTGGGAAGGGAGAGTACTGTCAACGTCACTGGAACCCGTGAAAGGCTGCAGGGAAGAGGGCGTTTGACCACCCCCTCTCAGGCTCACCCGCCCAAATTGACCGTTAGCAATGACGCCGCCCCCAGCATTCCTCTCCCACTGCCTTTACGACACTACTTTTTTTATAACAAGAAAGGGTCGATGATTGTTTCACACGTTTATTCCTCGCTCTGTGGAATTTTGCATAGTCATGTTCGCTAAGTGCTGGGTGTGTCAGACCGGATTTGGTGCGGCGTCAGCCGTGACCATATCAGCTGCCCCTCCCCTATTTTGATTTCCCGCGCCGATGGGAGTCGCCATGTGCACGACGCCGCTGCCCTCGAAGGCAAAGGGCGCGAAGGCTGGGAGCAGGTGGTTACTGCCAACGTCATTGGTGGAGGGGCTGCGAGAGGGACTTTGACCACACCCCACTCAGGCCTTCCACTAATGACGGCAGCGATAACCGCCCGCCCCCAGCCATTGTTCCCACTGCCTTTATGATACCACTCTTTTAAAACAAGAAGGGCCGATGATTGTTTCACACGCTCCACACGCTCCGCACGTATTTCTCGCTCTGTGAACTTTTGCATGGTCTTGTTCGCTGAGAATGCTGGGGCGTGTCAGGGGCTGGGTTTGGCGTGAGTACCTTCCCTTTTCCATTACTGAACGACCAAAGCCGCAACGATAGGTGGAAACCGGGCTGGCGCCGCACCAAACACAGCTCACTGATAAGCCCCACCATTTGCAGCGAACAAGAGCATTCGCCCACTGTTTTGCTGCCAGAAATCTGAACTCAAGGAAGATACAGTCGTTATCACTGATGTCGTCGGGGCATGTTAGGAGCGCGTGGGTTTTGGCGTGGCCTCAGCCCCTCTTCCACTGCTCATGTAACGACCGAAGACACAGTGATCGACAGAAACCGGGCTTGCGCCGCGTCAAACCCATGTCCCGCTGTCACGCCCCGACTGACTTCACTGATACGATTTACATACCTGGATCAAACTAACGTAGTAATTAAAGCACAAGTCGTTTTCTCGAATTACCCAATACACGGTACTTTCAGGGCAGACGATTTCGAAAAGAACTCAGAATATGCAAAAGCGTGGAAGAAAGACGATGATGGTGGAGTGATCTCAGATCAGCCTAGGATCACTGTCGGCGATTCCTCAATGGGACCACAAGGAGGATATGTGACCAGGTTCGTTGCCAGTACTCACAAAACCTTAGTCTCACAGTTTACTTATTCGATTCTCCACTATTCAAATGTGTTGCAGGATCACCAATGACGCACGCGAAGATGAGATGGACGAAAACATCCAACAAGTAGGTTGACACTCTTTAAACGAGAAGTCAAAGCTCTAAGTACACGGTTTAAATTTTATGTTCGACCTTCTTTTTCATTTTTTGTAAGGGTGCTTCTTTAATTTTTTTTCTGGTCGAAACACCCCAAAGACACATGGGCACTATTTACCCTTTATTTTACTGCCCCAACCATACAGAACTGAGCCACTTTGTGACCGACTTTTTTCTCCATGGACATATTTGAGTCAAATGTTGTCTCCTGGGGTAGTTTGGCCCCTTGGATACGAATATCACATTCGCTTAGTCCGAAACCGGTGATCTGGAGTATTTTGGCGCCAGCGCCTGCAGCTTGGGGCTAGGAGGTTTCGGACCGAGCTCATGTTTATATTCGTGTTCAGTAGGTCAGACTACCCCTGGGAACAAGTTTTCAAATTTTAGCCAAATTTTTAGCCAATTTCGCCCACGCAGAAAGAAGTCGGTCAAAAACTGGCCCGCTTTTAGAAGATTGGGGCAGTAAAGGGTAAATCCGGTGCAGAGTCGCAAGAATGACAGACCAGCGTGGATTGTCTTGTGCTACACATGCTCCCAGGTAATGATATGTAATTTCGAAACCCGTCAAGCAGTGGGATATCTGTTCAGCCCAAGTTCTAGTCTAGTACTGCCCCTTGTCCAAATGTGGTCATGAGAAGGACAGTCTCTCAATTGTCAGCCAGACTCTAACTAAGCCTTGCTCGCTGCAGACGATGGGGCGTGTCAAGATAATTGGGCTTGGAGCAGTGCCAAGCCCGTTCACCAGTTTCTAAAGCGGGCAAGCGACAAATTTGTATCATATAGTTGGCATTAGTCTTTTCCACCAATTCTTGTGGCTTTACTCGCTCCAACGCGCGGGTGGAGCGCCGAACCTAGCCTCACTGCACGCCCTATCGTCAGTGGCGAACAACTCTGCAATTCCATATACTTTACAGACATGCAAAATGCTCTCAGGGCCGTACTAGACAAGGAGATCTGATGTGCCTTGTCCTAGGCATATCCGTTCTTCAGCTATCTCATAAAGAATATCAGGCGAATGATTACCACAGCTTACCAGCTTGGTACCAACCACTCGATCTGATTCCACCGCTGATGTTTCCCTCCTCGCTCGTTTTGTTTTTTGTGCTCTCTCCCCTCATTTCTGATCTGTTACCGGGCTCCTAGTGGTCTCCCGCCATTGTTCTCACATTGCTTGGAATCAGCTGCGACACAGAGTTCTTGCTTGTTACCTTTCCATGGTTTCCTTTTGCTTCCGTCCTGTTCACGACGACCCCTGCATAGCGATTACGGCTTCGCTTATGAATCCATTACACATGCCTTGTATTCTGCTATATACAAGGGAGAGGCCAAAAAAGGACACTTTGGCTGAGTCACATATCAGCAAAGTTTAGGCAGCCCAGAGAGAAGACGTGGATACGAGTACCAGGGCGGAAGATACCCAAGATGTTCCTCGATAAGCAGGAGCAGGCTCTCGTCCATCACCTTCATGTACACCAAAATATGAAGCCATCTCCAATCGCAGCCGGACTGGAGAAGGCCTATGGAATTCATGTCACCTCCAAACAGCTGCGAAACTTCTTTATCGAGTCACCCATGATCAGCTACTGAAGACCGATACTCTTGATCAGGGAGACCTCCAATATCGAGATCCACTACGGTCCAGCATATCATGGCGTCAGGCACCGAATCACGGTCGCGTGGCAGAATCACTAAACGGCGATCATCCAGAAGTCGTGGCGGAGTATCGTGATAGTGTACAATGTGTTGTTGAATATGATGGTGGAAATGTCCAATCAGAATTTAATAAAGTGTAACTTATATCGCCTCGAAAGTCGAGGAAGAAAAGTGTCTTTTTTGTCGCCCCCCCCCCTATAAATTCTTTGATTTTTCCCTGGAAAAATAAAATTTTTCGATGCGCTGTCAAATAGCCAACAGCTCATTAGTATACTGTTGGTGAAGGAAGAAATGGCGAGGGCCGAACATCATATGTCAGCTTTTTTTCATTCCTAAACATTCTCAGCCACTGAATTTTGAATGATACTCATTTCGAACGTGGACGTTTATTCCAGGTGTCCACGATGGTCGGAAATCTGCGCAACATGGCTATCGATATGAGCACAGAAGTCTCGAATCAAAACAGACAACTTGATCGCATCCATGACAAGGTAAGTAACATGTTCGCTATATATTCCAGCGTCGACGCTTTGGAACTGTCACACAACTGAGTCTTCCGAATTTTCTAATCAGCAGTTAATTGGTGACGTTCTCCCATCCGCCCTGCCCCGCTCGACGGCAGTTTTTTTCTGGGAAAGGGTGGGGTGGGGGTTGTGAAACAAAATTCTGGAAAGCTGTGAGAAGTGGTAGAAAGTTGGGAAAACTCGGGATAATGAGAAATTGTAGGTAGGACTGGGAAGGGGTCGCACCAGATCGGAGAATTCGGAGGGTTGGAAGGTAGTGACGCCACCATTCACATACCACGATGCTGATCGCGCTGATAACAGTTCTCTACAGCTCATCACAGACCTTTTGACGATTCTTAGTAGGAAATGTGTGTCTTATACGCAGGGTACAGCATCGTTGTGGGAAACACATATGGCAGGCAGCGCGAAGTGTGAAACACTAGGGGTCGTACTTTTCCGCTGGGGAGGGGGTCGTATTTGGTCGTTGTTGGGAGAGGGGGTCGTATGTGGCTTCGACAGAAATTTGCCGCGTTGTGAAAAAATTCTTCCTGGCTGTTGACTTTTCGACTGATTTCTCCTGTTTCAAGTGTATATCCCTACCTCCCTTTCTGCCAATCCTTGCTTTAAGGAATATTTTCGTAAAATTCCGGAAAAATGATAGGAAGTTAGGGGATATCCAAAATTTGTGAAACAGGGAAATTTTCCCGTTTCACATTGGCTATATATTCTCCGTTCTCTGGGGAAAGACCACTTCGTTTCAAGATCCCTGCTTATACGACAAGAATTACGCTGTGGAACCTCTCCCTTCCTTCTTTATGTAAATGTTTTAGGCACAATCGAACGAAGTTCGTGTGGAATCGGCAAACAAAAGAGCCAATAAACTTCTCACCAAGTGATTCTCCTACGGTCAAAGCCAGATGCACCTCTAAAAATGGCACCACCGTTGAACATTCTAGTCCTGCACTCACTCCAAATGATCCCAGTCTCATTATTGCATCCCAACGTTGTTCTCAGTTGACTTCTTGTGCAGCGCACGTCTCTTTTTCGTCGCCCAGTTGTTGTTCATTTTGTGATCACCACTATAGCTCGGTATTCGTTCAAATGGACAACATTCCCGTTATGTTTAGCATTTTCTCGAATGCAGAAATTTTGAGCATTATTTATTTGTACAATATTTCGGTGTAGAGTTGATTTTATTGGTAAGCCCACTTTGCATGTGTAATCCTTGAAAACATCATCAGCACGTACTATTGACATTCGACGTCTCTTAACATTTAACTAACAAAGCGTTACATCTTTATTGCTTATAGCTCAGAATCATATTTAGCAACCGCTACACGGTACTCACATCTGATATCCTTGAATCGGCTAATCTCTTAAGGACTCACAGAGCTTTGTGGTCATACTCGACGACGGGCACGTGACAAGACAATCATATGTCGCGTCTGTGGGCGTGGCGAGCGACGTCGCGGCCGAGAGGGACGAGTTGTTCTACCTGGTGGTCGGGAAAGGCGTCTGAATGTTAAAGGGGAACAAAAGACCGATGTCACGGCATGCAGTTTTGTCTCTGCACAAATCAAATTGCACTTTTCGCCAAACGATCATTCGCCGCGACGGCGCGGCAAATTGCGCTTGTCCTGTCCATCTCCCTTCCACGATCCGCAACGGCAAGTGGACGAAGTTCAGGAGGCCCGAACTGCGGCATCGCGCGCAAACCAACTTGAATCCCTAGTTTACAAAGCTCGACACAAAACTGGCGTCAAATCAACCAGGTCATGGAGCCTACGTCCTTAACCCTTAATTTCACGGCCTTATCTCGGGAAATCCGATCTTCAATAAATCCTTCCAGGTTTAAGCAACACCGGATGAACGAATGCCACTCTATAATTGAGACCGCGCGCTAAGTTAGTTCTGAGTGAGGAGGGGGATTCGTAAGCGTCAAAGAACACTCCCTTGCCCAAGGTTTAAGATTAAAGGCAGTGAGCACAATGGCTCAAGACTGGCTCCTGTCACGTCATTGGTGGAACACCTTTCTCGCATTTCCACCAATGACACAGACGACAGCTGCCCGCCTCCAATCCTGTCCACTGCCTTTGAACATGACGCAGACGACAAAACTGGTGCGACAGAGCAATGTAGAGCAGGAATAACCGCCTGCCTGTTGCCCCCCTCCCCAAAAATGGTAACAAAAGAAGGCAATTCATCGATTGTCGAAGCTTTTCAGATTATGCTGTGAAACAAACAGCATAGGTCGCAAGCCACAAGACCTAGACGATTTGACGCCAAAGTGCTGAGGGGGTCAACTAGCTAGAAAAGTAGTCAAGGTGCAAGGACGCGATTCGGACCCTCTGACCCACATCCCTATCTAGCCATGAATAAGAAAATGTAGGCGATGAACGAAGACCTGTGAAGACGTTCGCACCCGTCTATCGCCGAGTATGACCACAGCCTAAGGGCTAAATATCACCTTAGCTTACCTATGGACTGGTAACAACAGAATTAATCTCGTCATAAAATTGTTACAAAAATATATGACAGCTAATCTTATAATTTCTTCTCTACTACAGGGACGATTTGCCCCTCCTGTATCATCTATCCATATAATTAGTTGAAAGATTCGGGGCATCAGTCATCACAACCAAATGGGGGGATAGTCAACTGTATATGGTAACGTCAAGTATTCACAGCTTTTTCAAAAATTTCAAAAAATTTCGAAGAAAAAATAAAAAATTCAACAGTGAGCAAGGAACAACGGTCTCATTCCTTCACTCAGCGCTTTTTAACGATAACATATCACAAACGACAACAGTTCCATCTGATAATCATCTGATTTAACAACATATAAAGGATATCATGAATACAATACTAACGATGAAAAACAGACCCGCTCAGAAATCATACCATCCGTCATGGGCACTCCTCCCGCCTTCTCTCTCTCTACTTATTTCATGACCTCACCCCTTGCTTCACTATTCAAGGCTTCGAAATATCGGACGCAGAGGTTTCATCGAGATTGTTCGAGATTCACCCAAATCTGGGAAAAGGAGTATGTGGGGAAGTAATCGTGAGCATCGGTAGGTCGAATGGGCGTGCCACTGCGTACGAGTTGCATTGTCTCATGGCTCGCTCAACTGTTAAAGGGATCGCGAAGGCAGCGTTCAGACTTCGCGACGGCAGCGCTTCGGTCGCGCGTTCGACGCGATCGATGCAGTCGAAAGCATGCGCATCGATCGCGAATCGCGCAACCGAAGCGCTGCCGTCGCGAAGTCTGAACGCTGCCGAACGGAAGCTCCGCCGACTGAACGCTGGTTGAGGACGCCGTTAACTAACTCGAATCCCATGCTTCAATGACAACCCTGCCTCTGCCTACAGTAAATCCTGACCAAAAAAGGCTCAGTTACGAGAAAAAATTCCTCTCAAGAGCTCTCGTAGGACTACTTTTTCAAAGGACCAGAGCCAGAAGGAGTGGAATCCATACATGTTGGAACAGTATCATTTCTTCCAATCAAATGAGGTAATAGAATTGTACCACAACAGGAGCAACAGTTGAGCCATATAATTCCACGAAACAAGCGATTGACATCGTACGAATCACTCCATCATTTCACTCGCTTCTCGCAAACAGCTGTCGAGCTGCAAAGAAACTTTGTTAGAATGTAAGCAGTACTGTAGCTGGACTATTTGTCTTCAGCCTGTGGAAAATCCTCGACCACAACAACGCACTTCACTTGAACGCATTAAAAGAGAAATGTGCATGGGGAACGTCATATCCATGGTGCAGTGACCCGGCAAAGGCGCTACAAACGCGCCCTTCGCCTTTTCTGAATTAACGCGGACGTGCTGCAGCATGCCGAGTCAACTAGCAAATAAATGGCTAGTTTATCCGCATCGCAACGTAAACATAACGTCCTTCACTCATGAGCAAAGGGAAGCTGCACTCTGGAAAGCTGCAAACATCTCACACGTGCACCTATGTGCGAGACGTGATGTGCATGCATATTCAGATAGATAGACAAAGAGATAGATACAGACAGACAACACAGACAGACAGACAAGCAGACAAGACAGACAGATAGATGGACAGATAGATAGAAGACACAGACAAGTGGACAGACTCCACTCGAGCCAACAACACATAAGCTCTCAGAGTAAATTGCTTCAAGCTCCCAACCTAACCTGCTTGACATGATGTGCCCAGAATCCCTGTGGTTCAATCGCAACACAGTAGAAGTGGTGCATTCGCATCGTGGCCCGATTTATAGTTTTGCGGTGCTTGCCTTATTTTAAATGAACGATGGCTTGATCCAGAAGGGTTCCGAGCCCAGGCATTTCGCGCACAAATCGGTCATCAGGTATAGCAGGGGGTCAAGCTTTCATGGCCCTATCTCATGGTAGACAATCTGTAAACTCACAAGAATGCCGTTATAGGCAAGGTAAACTCGTGAACTCCTGTGAAAGCCGAAAAAAACAAGGTGGTGCACCCATTATGCTTAGATGGAAATTTACTCGTTCATCACAAGGACTACTGCCATTTCGGACTCCAGAAATTTCGCTCGACTTCATTTCAAATAGTTCTGAAGCATGCCCAAATCCACTACCCAACTTGAATATAGGGTAATCAACATCTGATACGAGTATGACACTCATTCTTGGCGCTGGCGCCAAGAGAGGACACTACGATTACCTCCTGGGCTCAGCCTTAGCAGAGCGCAGGTAACCGTAGTGTCATCCATTAGCGCCAGCGCCAAAAATGAAGATCATATTCGTGATCAGGATGCTGACACCCTACCGCTAACATACCATGTTTTGAGCGATTTGTGACCCTTGCAACTTTAAAATGAATTTCGAGCCCGGAATTCTGGAGTCCAAAAACGGCTTCGCCTTCAACAATGATTGTAACACTTCGCTGAGTACAATTCGTGCGCCGCACACAAAGCTCCAAATTGAGCTAAAAACAGTTTGGATTGCCGAAAACCCTGAGCATAAAGCGTGAAATAGAGCGTAGGCGAACATACCTATTGTTTTGACAACCGTTGACGAATGCATTTTGTCAGTCCAATCCAAAAAAAGATGCCACAGCTATGCGCGACCCAGATTTCGGCCAGCTATGTCAGGATCGTGCTGGGATGGTGACAAATAAATCCAAGTCATTCGAATTTGCTCCGCTCCTTCACAGCACGCTGTGGCTACAGCAAAAAGTGAAATCTGAGGTGCTTGCTTCGCCGTGACACTCTTGTGAATCTGGTGGGATGCTTTGGTGCTGGGGCATAATGTGCGTAACGGCAGCACCAACTATACCTGTAACAAATCGTCGTGACGAACAGAAGGGTGTCCAGGACCCTTCTCGCCGTCAAGTTATCAGTCTGTATCGCAGCGATACCGGTGCGGTACTCTACGTTCCGGTGCTGCTCCCTGACCAAAGACTATATTATACTTCGTGGTATGTGCTTCTTTTGGTGACAACTACAGGCATAAGATAGCAAAACACATAAACAACCAAGTTTAACTCATAACAACTAAAATTAGCCTTAACAAAGAACAACCAAAGCTGAAAAGCAGACAACACTTCTTTTCTGCATACAGCTCGAGGCAAAAGCCGTACAGAAAGGCAGCAGCATTAGCATCGCAGGATACATGGAAAATCAGAGCATAGTTACAGTGTTATTCGTTGGGGATGAAAGGACCATCCCCAACGAATAACACTGTAACTATGCTCTGATTCAGACAGAGCAATTCGTGTCAGGGAGACAGGGTTTGGCGCGCCGCCAGTCTGCTCGCTGCCAGCTGCTGGAGCAGGTAAGCGACAGCAGCTGATGGAAAAAGACTGATACGAACGATATGATTCAGTTGCTTGCAGAAGAAGAAAAAAAAGGGATAGCGCCGCGCCAAATTCATTTCCCCTTGGAATTGCCTGCGTATCTTTCAGCTTCAAAATAGCTACGTTTGCAATGTAAAATAGTGATTGTGAGGCCATTTACCCTTGACGACCCTATTTTTTTGGACTTCAGGCTAGTGCTCTATCGAATCATGCCCTCGAGGGTAGACTGATCCATGAGCTTGAATATCTCCCACTGGGACTCGAAAGCACCTTTCGCCGGTCTGCCGAGCGCCAGGCGTTGTCAACCCCCCCTCCCCCTCTCCCCCCCCCCCCTTCCACCCAACAGATGTGATACTAGCCTTTGAGAAGTCAAACTGCACCTGGACACGAGTGTTTAGCGAATTTGGTGGAATGCCGTGTTTTCGTGAACGCGAAGGGTGACGCGGAGGACAGGTAGCCGCCGGAATAGCATTGAATGGTGCCAAAAAACATACGACGAACCCGGTGGTGGACTTTTCAAGCCAGGACTTTGAGTGGGTGAGCCACTTATCGCCTGAAAAGCTGGTACGCTCTAAGGTCACAGTGATCATAGAAAACCATGTGGATGAAGGAGGCGCAGAAAAGTGCGGAAAAACTGAGGCGATCAAGGGGAGGGGGAGGGGGATGATTCGGGTAGTGATGTGGCAGTGGTGGTCATCAGAAACAGACATTTTGCGGTCCGGCGAACAACTGCTACCGTAATCCAGGCCTTTATGGTAGCCCCCTCCCGCCAGGCTTAGGCTCAACCGCGTGCCCGGATGAGCCAACGTAAAGCAGAAGAGCACTGTCGGAGGCAGTATAACGAGGGAATTAGAAAGATCTCTAATTTGGGAAACTAAATCAAACGCGCGGCGTACAGTATCAGCGACTCAGTCGGACTGCGAAATGTTTCGTGTGTCGTCAAACGGTTCCTCACGAAACACTGGAAATATCCCTAAAAGAAATTTCCCGCCAAATCTAGCCCGTATTCCGAATAATGGGGCCGGCCGGAAGGGTAAATGGTAGCGAAGATTTCTGTCGAAGAATAATTTTCGTCAATTTACTTACGGTGTTGTGGAATGAGAACTGTGTGAAGTTGGACTGCATTTCATCCAGCTCATCCACAGTAGCTAAAGGTCCGGATCGAGCAGGCGGGGGAGTCAGCTGGACTGGAGCGGAGGTGAACTCCTGGAATACAAACAGGATAACATGAATATTTCCGTAAATCACATAAAAACTCACCTTATCGAAATAGCTTGTATCCGTCTCGCTTTGGACTGATGGCTTATAAGGGGGCTCAATCTCCTTTCTATACAATTTTTCCCAATCAATAGATTTGAAAAACGGTTGCTGGCAAACTTCTAACGCGTCGTCTGGTCCACCACCCAAGCTAAAAAGGACACTTCAAATTGACAACGATTTACAAATGAAGCAGAGTTTTACAGGAACTACGACATACCGTTGCGTAGGATCTTTGAAAAGCAGTCCAGCTAATAGTTGTTTTGCTTCTGCACTAAGCTTGCTAGGGAACCGTAACTCAGACGCCATTATCAATTCAAATAACTTCTGATGATCACGAGAATAAAATGGCAATCGGCCACACATCATCTCATACATCACCACACCAACACCCCACCAATCCACACTTCGACCGTAATCATTGTCTTCGAGCACCTGCAAAGGGTAATAACTCAACATGAGAAAACTTCGCTTGATAGTTAATGGTTTTTCAGGGAGATAGCTCGGAATCCTCCTATCATCCTCCTATAACCCTACTTTTTCCACTCAGGGAGGTATGAATGATTTATCCGATGAAATAATGGTCACCTGCTCCCTGATCTCTTCCTCCGTCTCCAGAACACTCTGGGAGAAGCCTTAGCGGCCATCGCTACAGGGTATAAGAATTAAAAGTTGCGATGATATATAGAGTATGTAATATTGGGTTAGCGGGAATTCTGTCACAATTTTCAAATTAGGCTTTCTTTTTATAGAGAGGCGTGTAAGATCAAAATTGTACAGCAATGTTACTGCGGGGTCCTTGCCTGTTTTTGAGCACCTCATGGATGCCATCGCTTCACAATGCAGGGAGGCGCGACGCAAAGTTGGACACCATCTCAATCTTGACTTGAACTCGGGTTATGGAGGTTTTCTCGTCCACATAACGATTGAGTACGGGAGGCAACTCGCAGTTAGAAGGAGCAATGTCTGTGCTACACCAGTGCAAGGGGAGAGCCATCCAGCTCTATTGCATGAGGTGCGGCTCGAACCACACTCTCTCCCCTTTCTTGGACGGAGTGCGCTGCATTATCATGATGAGGGCGGGCTGTGCGGACAAATTTTTCCCTCTGATCGACGGTACGCTTTAGATCTCGTAGCTGCTTTGCGTACGCATTGACCGAGGAAGCAGCTTCTTCATCCTGCATTCACAGGTAACCCAAACCTCACTTCGTCATCAAAACTGTAGGCTCCCGCTTTGAAGCATTAGCGTCGTGGAAGGTTGTCCGATAATTGAGGGCATCGTCCTTATTCAGCTCCATTATTTTGGCATCTGCAGCTATCATGCTGGCGTCAGGGTGGTGGAAGAAAGAGTTTGAGGAAGCGCTTGGAGGGGTCGGTGCCGATGGTAGCGGATAAAATCCTTGTCCATATTGCAGAAGAAGAAGAAGCAGGAGTCAAGCGAGTGGTACTAATAGAAAGACCACTCCTTGATGTATAAGTGCTCACATTACCGGTTACCCCTCTTCAGGTAATGGGCAAGTATTTTGTCTGAAAAAGTGTGACAGAACTTTCCCGCCAACCTAATACAAGAGAGCTTACCAGGGAAGTCCGCCAACTTACCATGGAACTTTGAATGGAGACCTGGGTAGATCGATAGAGTCTATAAGGTTATTTACAAATATAGATAAAAACCTGCATTTCACAAGCAACTTATGAGCAGGTAAAGTTTGTAATGGTGCAGTAGGGTGGAGGCTTGGTGGTGAGCTGTGAAGCATAAGCGAGGAATCGCATACGTCGAATCGAGTGACGTATGCGATTCCTCGCTTATGCTTCACAGCTCACCACCAAGCCTCCACCCTACTGCACCATTACAAACTTTACCTGCTCATAAGTTGCTTGTGAAATGCAGGTTGCAGTTTTGCTATCTATATTTGTAAATAACCTTATAGACTCTATCGATCTACCCAGGTCTCCATTCAAAGTTCCATGGTAAGTTGGCGGACTTCCCTGGTTAGGCCATAGCGGAGGGTGTGGATGGAGGTTCTGAGCGCGACTATTACTTCTATAGACTAGTCAGATTTATCAGAAGTGAAGATAACATTTCGGAACCGCAGTGAAGAACGCGAAAGCTGGATGGTGTTCAAACTCCCCTTCCTCTTCAATGAGCTCCCTCCCACCACCTTTGCCCTCAAATCATGAGGGGCGGGGTATGTGGTATAAAGTGACCTTACTGCTACTGACAAGCTACGATGATATGAAGCCCCTTGAAGCTAAGAAAACTTGCCCGAATCGCCAAGAGGCACATTTTCCTAACTGGCCGAAAACACTTCCTGGAAGAAAAAGAGGAGCAACAAAACATCAGGTCAGTGGCCGAAATGCAATGGAGCAAATATGAGTTTTGGTAACTTGGCGATCCGGACGAGTTATAAGCCGTAAGAAATACTTCGTATGACCAACATTTACTGATGAGCACAGGAAAAGAATATTGATACCTTTTCAGCACTCGTCTATAGCCTCGTGCGAGAAGGAAACTAAGTTTTTTGTCCGACTTTGCCATTCAAAAATTCGAAGGATACCAGTTTTGCAAGCAGTTATTATCAACTAATCAATAGGAATTAGGGAGGATCACGTGATACGTTATTTTGTAGAATATTAATTCTAGATATTAGAACCTGGGAGAGTACTTCGATCCATCAAAAACATCATACATATTGTTGCGAAAGAAAACAACCAACCTCCGGTGCAAGATATTCAGGTGTTCCACAAAAAGTGCTGGTTTTATCTCCAAAGCTAATCTCCTCTTTACAGAGACCAAAATCGGCTATTTTAATATGTCCATCCTTATCGAGCAGTAAATTTTCTAGCTATAAAGAAAAAGATCTCTACTGATACAGTCGAAGTAAAAGAAAACGATAACAGGACAGGGACGAAACATTTGCAAAGCACAGAAACGACACAAAAAAACAGAAAAGGGGAGTGAGACAAAAAAACACTCTTCGCAAAACACAGTGACTCTCGAATGTCTGCATACAGTATATAAACCACACCGCCCACATTTCAATTACACATGAAAATTTTACTGAAAAGTTCAAGTGACTACACTGTACCGAACTTGGCAAGAAGAGCACAAGCCAGTGTCAGTGTTACGCAACGATAACCGGGATGGCGGA